TAGTGTTAGTAGACATTGAATATTTTTATCACAATGAAATTATAACCGTACTTCTACTAAATTATTTCCGTACGTACGTGTTCACACGCGTCATTTTTTCTCGATAACTCAAGTAAACTTTTATCGGAAATAGATTATTTTAATATTTCCTTATTTTTTTTTTTTTTTATTATAGATACAAATAACTTGCTTTTTATCGTATTTATAACTATCTTATAATTATTTGACTATTTTTACATATTATATGTATATATTTTTTTTTTTAACATGCATGCAGGCAAGCAATTCTCATCCACATGTATACGCATTTTTATACATAATCTCCTACAGCTGTGCCTTGTTCCCTTATCAACGTTTTTTAATTCAAATCGAAATTTAAAGCATCCTTCAATATGATTTTTATACTGCGTTTTGTTTATTGATATGTGCGTATTATGTTCCATCTTAAAAATTGATCGATTTCAAAATTAATGAAGATAATCAAACTTTCTCGTCATGCTTTAAAAATTATTCTATATCAATTTTGCACTGTCGATTTTTCTATTGTTAGGTCGATAAGAAACGAATGGTCTTTAACGAAATTGAACCAGCCTTCCGACTCGGGTAGTACGATAGACGAATCGATATTACCGACTATTACACATGCATTCGAAAAACAAGTCAAACACGAATACGTCCGAGTAAATTCCTTTATTCTCGAACGACATGCGCGTCAAAAGTGCGAATCGAAAGGAATTTTAAAGTCGGTCGAGTGAGCAGACCGTAGTAAATCCGAGTACAATCGCTGGATGTAACTTGCTGGAAAGCGCAATGATGCCGTGCTGCGTGAAGCATTTGGAAGTGGAATTGGACAGACGGAGACGGAGAAAGATGGAACCACGCGTTATGGCTGACGAAATCGAACGAAAGTTGGTGAAACAGGTGAAGAAACAAGGAGAGCTCGTACGAACATTGAAAGCTGCTAAAGCCAATGATACGCAGGTATGATTAATTATTTTTACCTGCCGCAGACTCATATTTTCTTTTGCAATAAATATTTTTTAAAGCTACTAGAAAGACGATGCCTTCTGGTAACGCCAAGTTTCGCCTCCATGTGACTTTTAGTATCTGCATATTTGAACGTGAATAATTTCACTATAGTTTGTGATTGATGTCGTTTTGGAGTAAATGCCATTTTGGTCTCGAATTTTCCATTTTTATTATTTTTCGCGTACAAATTTGCCCATTTCTTATGATAAACTACATCTTTCATCTCCTGATTGTACTTAACCTCTGATAAAGATCTCAGTACATTACTTTCCATCCTTTAGGACTCGACAACTTTCTCGAATTTAGAAGCGCAATTAGAAAGCATTAACGATGATTTCGCGAATGTGAGTTATGTGAGTGGTTGGACTCCTACCACGAAAGATACGATATTTTTCGATTTCTGTGTCATCTTTATTCATGATCGGCTCTCCAAGTGGCCGCATTTGAAAAGATGGTTCGCAAACGTTCAAAGCTTCGATGAAATTGAACGTAACGCGTTTCCCGAACCGAAAGGGCCAGTTACTTCTCTGATGGAGAAGGTTGATTGCATAAGCAAACTTTATTTCTCCAATCGAAATGCGATTGATCAAAAGGTGAGGCGATTGTACGCAGGCAAGCAAAATCGCTATAAATTATATACGTGTATATATTTATATATATATATATATTTATACATATATGTATATATATATGTATATGTATATGTATACTTTTGTGGATAATTGTTATTTCCGTATGTTGATTGTCATTTACATATGCACTCATTGAATAACGTGTGTCTCTCTATGAAATTTTTCAACCAGAGAAACGATATTCGGTTGTATATGTATATAACGATAGTACTTTGTAAATCATGTAATTTATGGCATTTGCTTGCTAGCTCACTTATATGGTACTGTTTGTTCTTTCGGCTAGTTTAATAATCAACATTGAGGCGGACTTTTCTCTTTGATTCTGGTTCTTTTAAATGACTGGTCATTTGTGATGTTGTGTTCATGGTGGACCAACGCCTTCCTACCTGCACGAAAATATTGCCATGCATCGATGCTTTCGAGGCTAAAGGTATGCAAATTACATAGGCAATTTTCTTCGATGAACGACAGAAATGATAAATTGTATTAAACATGTCCTTTTTCAAATATTAATCAAAATTTGATTCTCTGTTAATCGTTCATCAATTAATTTCTACTATTTTCTGCTTTTTTTGTGTAGGTTGCAGAGGAAATTAGCAAATTATTGGAACTGAAAGCTCAACTGGGGGACAAGAATGGAACACCTTCCAAGCTACTCCTTAAAACTCCTAAAGGTACAAGAGATTATGGACCTGAGCAAATGGCACTACGTCTTGCGGTATTGGATAAAATAGTTACAGTGTTCAAAAGGCACGGTGCAGAAACTATAGATACTCCAGTATTTGAACTGAAAGTGGGTAAAAAGTATAAACTATGATTCCAGTATAACCAATTTCTTTGCGAATGATTCATATTTTAAATAAATATTATTTTATGCTTAGGAAGTGTTGACAGGAAAATATGGAGAGGATTCGAAGCTGATCTATGATCTGAAAGATCAAGGTGGAGAGATTTTATCTCTTAGATATGATTTAACTGTACCTTTTGCTAGATATCTGGCAATGGGTAAAATCTCTTCTATAAAGAGGTTTCATATAGCAAAAGTTTATCGAAGAGACAATCCAGCCACAACGAAGGGCAGATACAGAGAATTTTATCAATGTGTGAGTTTAATAACATAGAATATACGACATCTCGTACGGTTGTTACATATGAACGGGTTGTGTTGATGAATGACTGATTTTTTCTTTTTTACTTCGTTGAAGGATTTTGACATCGCTGGACAGTACGATCCTATGTTACCAGACGCGGAGTGTATTCGTATTATTTCTGAGGCATTGCAATCTTTAGATGTAGGACCTTATATGATTAAACTGAATCACAGGTCATTATTAGATGGTATATTGGCTGCCTGTGGTGTTCCAAATAATAAATTTCGCTCTGTATGTTCTTCTATTGACAAACTGGATAAAAATCCATGGTTGGAAGTGAAACAGGAGATAATGGAAGAGAAAGGCCTGGAGGAGTCCAGTGTGGACAAAATTGGCACTTATGTGTCGCTATCTGGTGGTGTGGAACTAATATCTAAATTAAGGGAAGATGTCGAATTAATGAAATATGAGGCCGCAGTGAGAGGTCTTGAATCTATGGAATTATTGTTCAAGTATTGCAACATATTACAAGTGATGGACAAAATAACGTTTGATCTTAGTCTTGCTAGGGGACTCGATTATTATACTGGTGTAATCTTCGAAGCGGTATTGACCGGTAAGTTTTGAAATGGTATCACGCTAAATAAAACTGTAGCTTATGATTCGTATAAAGGCCTATTTTTTTCTTTTCTCTCGTTTCCTTTCTTTTCGTTTTACTATTGTTAATATTATATTGTTAATTTTTTGTTTTTCTTTACTTTTACTTATTTTTTTTCTTTCCTTTTTTTTTTTGCAGGCGGCGAGGTTACTGTTGGCAGTGTCGCGGGCGGTGGCCGTTACGACAACTTAGTAGGAATGTTCGATAACAAAAAGAAATCAATTCCTTGTGTCGGACTGTCGTTAGGTGTGGAACGGATTTTTAACGTTCTAGAGACAAAACTGAATCGCGAAGGTGTAAAAACGCGAACTACCGAAATTGAAGTATTCGTAGCGACTGCACAGAAGAATTTACACGAAGAAAGAATGAAAATTTTATCGATCCTTTGGGATGCTGGAGTAAAAGCTGAACATTCTTATAAAAGAAATGTGAAATTGCTTGCGCAGTTACACCACTGCGAAGAAAGTGGGATACCGTTAGCTATAATAATTGGCGAAGGAGAATTAGCGAGAGGAGAAGTTACATTGCGAGACATTGCGTCTCGTGCAGAGGTTTCGATCTCGCGAACACATTTAATCGATGAGATAAGGAGAAGATTATAGAAATATGTAACGAATTACTTTCGGATGCGTAATTTGCTAATTTATATAGTTAAATAGAATCATACCAAACAGCGATTATTTTATGTTTTCGTAACGTTACGCATAGTCACACCTTTTATTCGTATATTGCACGAAAGCTTCCTTCAAGCTAAGCTAAGCTAAGCTAAACACGGAAGAAAGGAAGAAAGTACTGCGTTCCTGTGTAATTTAAATTATACATAATTTATTGTACCGAAAATGTCGAATAAAATTCGTACCGTTTCAGGAAACATGTAATATTTCCATGTGATCCGCGAGAAAACACGTGGTAACTCGAGAATCATTTTCACTTTTCGTCACTACGATTTACGATGAGAAGAAAAAGAAGGAACAATAGCTGATCGGAAGTATAAGAAATTTCATGTGAACAATAATGGTGAGAAAATCTTGATTGACGATGACCTGCGTGTTTTTGCAATGTATCGAATCCAGGCTAAATTCGGTTTTTAGGGAATGATCACGCTTTTATTCGATTATATTAGAAGACGATTGTAGGTATAATTACATCGGAAACGAAGGTAAATTCGAATGGTATCGGTTTGTTTTAGATTTACGGTGATTGTACGTGAGGTATTTTGTGGATGGTAACCGTATGTCACGATTTATTACTAGACAGATGTGATTGGTAAGTTTCGATCTTGAGTTCTGCAAGATGGTGCGATGGATGTAAAGGATCATCGGCTGTGACTGTCGTAAAATGATTACGAACGGTACTTGTAACGGGATTCTCTACTTTTACCTCAACTAATGGTTGCTCTGATTCCGTGGCGACTTGGGCGGATAAACTGTATTTAAAAGTAGAATCAGTAGTAGGAGAATCATTGGAGTGTAACCATTTTTTCGTGCTGGTTGGATCTTTTTTGGACAGAGTGGATTCTGTTTCATCGTATCCGCCGCTTAATTGAGCGCAAGGCGTATATTCCGCTGAACGATCAACATTTTTGGCCGAGATTGTGCTTGTAACGAAGTATGTCTGCGGATCGATAATTCTCACACTTTTTTCTTCTAGTCGAGTAGAATTCGTAGAAGCAGATTCTTGATTTGGAAAGAACGAACGTCGTTCTTCTGAACACGGAACCGAGGACGTAAACCGATGGGAATTTTCATCGGATTTCGCGAATTGATCGCTGTTGGAATCCTGGCATAATGAAACGTTTTTACGAATTGCATCGCGATTATATTTTTTGTAAATATCGGACGATGTATCGAATGGCTCTGTTCGTTCTTTGATATTTTCAGCGTGAACATCGCCTAAACTGAAAGCTCTGGCTCGACGTCGAAGATTCATTTGGCCGATTTGTCGCTGCAGCATACCGGCCTTCCAACGAGGTACAGCCTTGAGCATAGGAACAACAGCGGCATTACCACCTGTTGAAGTTCCGTTCTGATTTTGAGTAGGTCGTAACGAGAAACGACGAGCGTTGAAGGATGATTTTATCGGCGTTGAAAAACCCGGTGCTCCTTCTGTTAAAATAAGAGGATCTTTGGGTGATTCGAAGAGGAAAGTCGACTTATTTTCGTATGGCATACGTCGTGTATCCTGAAAAGAGTAATAATAATGTTTAAAACGTCTAATCGTAGAATGTAAGACGTGGAGATATATCATATTCGATTTGTTTGTGGAGGTAAAGAACAAGTTTTAATCGTTTAATTGATTAATCGTGAGCGAATCGAACTCACCGATAAAAATGGCGAATCACTCCTCGGAGGCGTCGGAGGACTAATGGGTGTCGCTACTGGTCTCAAAGAAAATCTTCTCGATTTTGCGACCGTGGGCGAGACGAACACCAAACTGCCTCTTCTTGACTCTCGGCGAGTCTGAGGCCAAGGTGGCTTACTTTCATTCCAATTTACATTAGATTCTTGGATGATTGTGTTTTGATTACTTTGAGCACTTGATGCGGACGGAGAAGGTGAAAATAGCGTGAACAAGCTAGGAAGTTTTGGCGGTGTCAGGGAAGCAGTGCCCATTTTTCTCCGAGGTTGAACACGTCGCATTTGATTCTCGTTTGAACTACTCGTATTGGTAGCAACGCTCGCATGAAGAACGGTAAGGGCTCTCAAAAAATCGGCCAAGCTAGTTTCCTCGAGCAAATTATTACTATTTTCGGTATTAATGTTGCTACTTGCACCAGTATGGGTGTAATAATGTTTGTGTGGATTGGAAGTAGTCGAGCTCGTGTCTCGTCTATCATCGATCGACACCGAGCCCGGTATAAAGGATTGTCCGGTATCTTTGTTGTTAGCTTCGTGGTCGAATTCGGAGCTCTTTTTCTCTGAACTCATGGAGAAACGACTTTTCCAAGGAGCAGACGATATCAACGCCTTAGGAACGGATTTCGTTAATGCAAAGCTTCGAAGCTTTGCAAATTTGGTTTCCTTAATGTTACGTTCTTTGTTGTACAATTCGCTGATTCGAGGCCTCATTAATTCCTGAAGTTTTTTAGCCGCCGTTGGACCGGACCAAGTTCGTTCCACGTTTCTATCCTCGTTCTTCGTCTCGTGCAATCTAATTTCACTGATCGCTCTGGATCGAGGTTTCCCGAAACGTGGTATTTTTTCGTGACCAATTGTCCAGGTTCCTGGTCCAACGTTGGACGAGTAAGTTGGCTCCTTGTCAAAAAAGTCTTTACCATTACCATCAGTTTTGTTATTGCGATATCCTATATCCGGAGCAACGAAAGTTGTCTCGTTGGAGACATCACCTCCGTTATCCTCTGTAGCTGGTGGTATATAACCGAGAATGTTAACCAATCTTGCCAATAATTCTGCCGGCTGAACCATTGCATGAGTCGCAAATGTGGCCGTTTTGTCAATTCTTTGAAGATCGGTCTCCGAAACGACGCGCGTTACTTGATCTTCCTGCAGGGCGTCAAAGGGAAAGGAAAAAAGAAAAAACGGACAAATTAGAATAGCTATTATCGTAGGTTTTGTAATGCGAATAAGGAGAGAATTCGCTTACCGTTGGTACCACTTCGCTATTGGCACGACGACGAGGCCTGTGACATATTCTATCTTTCTCTTTCGAGCCGTACAGCAAATCTCGAAGATCGGGAAAACTGTTGCTACGAGGAAACTTGGAAGGTGGAATCTCGTAATTACATTCGTCAACGTATATCCTCTGAAACATGTATAAACGTATTTTGAATAACTTGTTGGCGTGGAATGCTAAACGAATAGTAAACGAGAGAATTGTTGACGAAACAGAAAGTTGAAGATGCGTTCGCTTATGTACCTTGACCTTAGACAGCTGTAACTCGTTGAAAACACGGCGTAGATAGTTTATCTCCTTGTTAAATTCGTTCCAGATTTTACTTTGCGTATGCTTCAAATTTATGGCTAATTTATGCTCGATTCTAGTAATCTTCTTACTGCGCATACCTCGAGCGATAAATGTCATGATCATAACGGTATATCCCAGTCCAAATGAAATCCAACAGATCAGAAATGTCTTGTATAATATAAAAGAAAATCCGCTACCCTTACTATTGTCCTGTCCTATCGAATACGATGCAATGTTGTCATACGTATTTTCTCGGTTTAAGAAACGCGTTACTAAGAAAAATGCGAAAGGTGAGTAACTATATGAATAATTGGAAGAAAATCGGCGAGAATTTCCTCTGAGCCTGCTTTTTCGAATCATTGGAACGTGAATTACTTGCACGCTCTTGCGGAATGATTGCAAGTGAAGGGAACTGTACATGATCGTATATGTACGTCTATACTTGATTGTTATATCGATGTCACGGCTTTGGTTTGCTATCGATTAAAGTTTAAATAATAATACGAGTGTATTCCGATTAACGTAATTTATTGTTCGTGTTGAAAAAGTAAGGATCGGTGAAAGAACGTGACAAAGTATTTTCTGACCTGCCACGTAATCTCCGAAACCAATAGTTGTCAATGTGACGAAAGCGTAGTAGACAGCTTCGTCGTAAGTCCAACCCTCATAGTAGGAGAAAAGAAATGCTGGGAAAAAGATAAACATGATGAAGCCTGGCAGCAAATGAACGAATATCTGTGCAGCCAATCCAACTTTTCCCGTTTCGAATGTTGTCAATTTTCTTGTGTAATAATCATTGTCGCCATGCTTGTACGATTTGTACTTTTGATGAGCTTTAACGAATACATGCCCGAAAAATTCTCCCAATTGCGTCAACAAAATTCCATTCATAGGTATGCCAATTAGACCATAAAATATCATCAGGATACGGCTGAGCATATTCGTCGGAGCTAAATTCCCATAACCTATATTGCATATATTTAATACGTGATTAGCGACCTTTGAATTTTATTTATGTACAAAGTTTTTGAAATATCAAATTCTCGAGTAAAGTTGTGTAATGTATAATGCATGTAAAAAGCATGTAAAGTATGTAAACGGTCGTATATCGCCTCGGAAGATTCGATACGAAGATTCGAAAATACTTTATTAGCAGGTAAAATTTCATTATGTTTTCTATTGAATATCGATTGCGTAGAAAGGCGAAAAATGATATGTATTATTGTACATGTCGTATACATCATGTGTATATACGTACCTATAGTGCTGACGACGGTGTAAGCGAAATAAAAGCTGTTATAGAAGTCCCATTTAAGTGGATCAATCTCGTTTTCGGTGTAATTATAAACCGACTTTCCACAGTATCGTGACAATTTTCTAAGGATTTCATCGTGATCGTGACTAATGGTGGGCACGTAATGTGCATGAAGCAAAGCTGAAAAAGCAATCAACGTCAAAGCCTATACATGTATCTAATGCATAATATAAAAATCTGTAACGCGTTTACGAATGATGAATTTATTATAGAGATTTTACATCGATTTTTACTTTCCGTTCACAATTAAGCTTTGTTATTAGCCGAAAATTCGTTGGATTTTTATTCATTGAAAATTACATCTTGACATGGCTTTAAATTACATGTTACATCGGAAATCTGCATAATGTTTCATTTAAACCACTTGTTCCGGCATAAACGTTATCTTATCGTTTCACGTTATTCGTTTATCGTTTATCGTTTATCGTTTATCGTTTATCGTTTATCGTTTATATTCTCCGGTTGCTTTGAATTGGTCGTGGGACTTAATAATACGGTGCTACGAAGAACACATGGAAGAAAAAAGGAGATTCTATCGTTAGCAAGTGAGAATCTCTGTTAATTGGTGAAAATCGATTCGAACATATCGCAGTGCGTGCAGATTTCTTTGCAATTTCTTTATCTCGATCGCGGTAAGATGCACTTTCGATAATTCCATGAAAGTAATTTTGATAGAAGATAGTGTAATCAATTATCATATACGAATTGACACATGTCGAGAATCTTGTTATCCACATAAAACAGGTTAATCAAATGTTTCAAAATAAAAGCCGCACATGGAATATATTATAAATTTTACAATCTTAAATGGCCAAAGGTATCAATGATTAAAATTTCAACGACTAATATCGTTATAATGAAATAACTGTGATTTATATTCATGAACGAGGAAATGAACGTTTATCGGGGATACCGATGAATTTGCTGAACAATTACCTCTAAAGGAGTGGCCAGATGGAGTAATTTCGTGTACAGTAATACGATTTCGTAACCCGATATTGACGGTGAACGAATTTATCCTTTATTACGATGGCTTACTATTGTTCAACAAAAAGCAAGAGAGAGAGAGAGAGAGAGAGAGAGAGAGAGAGAGAGAGAGAGAGGGTATTTTTTTAAAAGTTTAATAAGTTTTGATCGATAATGAGAAAGTTACAATATGTAGTTCTTTATATGCATTTACCAGTACTCGTATCAATCTTGTGACGTCATCAAAGTTCAAATATTATATCACAAAAAGAGACCGAATGGTTTTATTTTGTGTTCTTAAGATTTTCAATTATCGAAATTATCGATATTAATTTCTTGTTTAATTACACGAGCGACTGTGCTCACCGTTAATATCGATGCGTTCACGCTTGGCTTCTTCGATGCGCTTGATCTCTAAGCGACTCTCGATATGGTAGAAAATGGAAGCACCTAGCAACAAGTAAGTCAAGAACAGCATTAGCAGGACCAGCCATTGCTTCTTCGACATTCTTTGACTGAATGTTTGTTTGAAATAGGTTGACAATGAGTGTTTGTTAGAAACAACTAACGAAGATTTATAATGGAAATATAATGTAAATTTTCATCGAGTCTCATCGGTGTGTCCCTTGCGTTTCAAATTTTGCCTCTAGCGACCGATAACTACGCAAAACTACGATGTTGCTTTACGAAAGTCAATCCTTGATGATAGTACAGCCAATAGTCCACGATGAAACGACGGATTCGCGGATTGTCGTCGCGATTCTTACTACCACTGCACTAAAAACAGATTTTGAACGGTCAAGCAGACTACGACATTATCGCGTGATAACTCTTTAGACTCTGATTTCGCGACCTTCAAAAGTCACCTTCTTTTCCCTCGATGACGACTCCGTCAGATATCCGATACCATTTTAAGTGCCAATAACTAAACATTTGATTGATAATGCGATTGATTATTTTTCCATTTCCATTCCAAACTTCTTCTCATCCTTCCAATATAGACCACCGAATAATACCCTGCAAGATGAATGCCAAATAACCATATGATCATGAAATAACAATATGATCAGTTGATAAATTAACGTATAATGTATAAAATGCATTATAGAAATATCGCAAGTGATTTACCTATTACTTAATACGAAACATCGAAATTTCTATGGATTTATTTGAAATCAATGTTTCGCACCAAGTTCCTATTTTCCTATTACACGTACGTAGAATCACACACGAAGAAGATTAAACGAATAAGTAGCAAGAAATTTACGGACTGGAACCGACAGTCAGTTGGTATGTAAATGAACTCTTGTTGCATCACAGATTTATTGTGTTTAACAAAGGTTCGAATGACACACGAACGACAATGCGAAATGAATATGAACAAATTGCAATTCTTACCGATCGTAAGAAGCACGATTCTAATGATACAAAAGATTCGAAACAAAGTAACTTTTGTCGGAAACGGCAGTCATTGAATCGACTATTTTCTCGAATGTAGAAAACACATTGTTGGAGAACACTGATCGTTTCGATGAGCGCAGTTGAACTTAGGGACGTTCGTTTGCCGTGTGACTAGAATTTTTTACAGTTACCGCGCAGTTGCTGACAAAAATGTTCCCTTCGACGATACTCTTTACGTAACTTGCACGGTGTACTTCGTAAAACGCAATATATCTCTCGCTAGTTGGAAGATCGATGGACAAGATCGATCGAACGCATGATTTATCACGTAAAACGTATGTTTTCTTTTCTTCTCTAGCTGTTACGTTGCTGTATCCTGTAGTTATATAGCACTCTTCGGTGCAGAGCAGAGAAAAAAAGAAAGAAAAAACGAAGAAAGAAGAAAATTAAGGAAAAATAGGAAAAATGGAGAAGAGAACTCTTCAGTTTGAGAGAAAGAAGAAAAATGAAAAGAAAGAAAAAGAAAGAAAAAAAGAGGCAATAGAAAATTATTAAAAAGTCAATTCAGTTGTTTATCCGCGTAAGGAAATCTGCAAAATCAATGACAAATATTGTCATATGTAGTTCTGTTTTATATTTATTTCACTGATTATATGAGAATGCAGTAGCTTATCTTTACTACATACTGAGACGACGCTGAAGCAGATATCGAGTAAACGCGGATTAACCACCCGTGTTAACAACGAGAACAAAATATTCTCGATAATACGCTATCGAAAGTTAAATAATATAGTTATGTTTGATAACGTTCCAATCGCAGTTGAAACAAAGAAACGAGTGATAATCTATCTCGATTTCGAATAAGACGAAAATACGTACCTTGATGGGCGTGAAATAGACTATAACGTACAACGGTTGCGATCTCGAGAATTTAATACTGATAACTGCCACGTTAAAACGTCTCTCGATATATCCTCGTTCATCCCTTGCCTTTCCTTCGTGGTTTGCACTCTCAATTAACTCTTTGTTTTTGAAATTTCCACCGTTGCTATTACTATATCGTCGATATCCTTGTACATGTATATCTTTCCCGTTCTAAATCACGAATCTTCCGAAAATTTTATAACGCGTAACGGTATATCTTGCTCGTATATCTTTCACGTATCATCCATTGAAAACTATTATTCCTTTTTTCTTACATTTAGCAATTTATCATTTTGAGGAATACGAGAAGAAAATGAGGAAATTCGTAGCAACGTTAGAATTATCAGCTTTTACTACCACTATTACCATTTATACTACCACTCATTTATATTCTGTAAAATTTATCACAGCTTAGAGATTACATACCTGTAAGGAGCAATCGTGCATCTTTTCCAATGCTTCCTCTTCGACTTCTTTGAACGATAATAGCTAGACTACGTTTACCTAGATAATATCTCTTTTCTTTTCTTCTAGATAGTTGCAACACTTTCCTTTCAGAAAAGATAATTGTTATCCCT